GACACCTCAATATAGCGGACAGACACCAGTACATAACGGACAGACAAAGGACAGTCAAGGAGGTGTATTGCTAAACTCTTTAAGCCACAATATCCAAATACAAATTGTAAAAACTGATCATACGTTCCTTGAAAAATTAGTTCAGAGAAATTGCTAAAAGGTCAAAGCATTTTCCGTTTGGTGATCATTTCACTAATTCTCGCCACCTTTTTTTCTTGATTGAGTATTGATATAGTTGGGAGAAGCCAAACGTGTGTCTGCGAATTAACTTTACAATTTGCGAAATACATCGCGGCAAATACACTTTTAGAAATATCAAATCCATCACTTGTTAAAGCCGCCATCGCGGATTGGATTGTGCCGTCAACGAACTAAGGAGTGATACTAATAATAGACTGAGAATTCCGTGCAGTTGGAAACCTAGCAATCCGTCTTGACTGATTCACCGCTGACGATGGTTCACAACAGTTTGCAGACGTTGATAGATCAATACAGTAAAGTAACAAGCAAATGTCCATCTGCCCAATGATTGGCGAACAAGTTATGATCATTGTTGCGACATCACATTCTCGAGCTTTGGCTGCCTGTGACATGCCAAAGGTAAAATGCCTCAGCAAGATCAATTGCGAGCGAATCACGTTTATTTTACGCCGGTCGGTCAATCGATTCTTCGTTATCAGTTAAATCTTACCATGGACAAGTAAGTGTAATGGGCAAACAGCTCTCTGTTTATCTGCTTGTTTATTTCCTCCTCGCTTTTCGATGTATATGGTGAAACAAGCGGCAAAGGAGCTTCGTTAGTTTCGTTTCCTGTGGAAGAAGTCAGGGAATATTAGGAACCACACTATAACGAATACCTTTTCGTGCGAACATGAAACGTTACCTTACAGCGCTTTTCAAAAACATGCGAATTGTGAAGTTCAAAAGCCAACTGACGATTGCGTTTTTCGCTGCCGTCAATCATCTTGACGGACTTCTTAGGAAACAAAACTTTACTTTAACGGGTTCAAAAGGCCATGGTTTGTGATTTGTGATTGGTGGATTTCGATCCGTTTTGTGTGTTTCTGTGTTTCTAGGTTCGTTGCTTCTGATCGTAATTATGATTGACGGCAGCGAAAAACGCAATTGTGAAGGCGGCTTATGAACTTTAGACCTCGCATGTTTGTGAAAAGCGCAGTTAAAAGTGACTTCGCGTTCTTTGGAACTTCAGGGCGATTATCCCAACTCGCTCACCTTGTCAAACGTAGGCGACTGAACTCTTAAGCATTGAATTCTTAAGAAAAATACCCAAGTTCAAAAAGGGAGGGAGGAATTCATCGTCCTTTGTTTACGATCCCGATAAAACGTGAAATTTGGCAATTTTGCGTCGTAGTAGTGTACTGACGGCAAAGAAATTTACCAAAAAAAAGTGTGTCTTGCACGTTTAAAATTGTTGTTTTTTCTTATCTACACCTATAATTGCTTTCCTTTTTTTCACGTTTTCGTTCTCTTGACGTTGCAGTTGCTATGACATCGTGGCATCTTCTAGCCCGAGAAAACAGCCGACATTTGGCGAGGCCACCACTGGTCTACCCGCGAAAAGACATCTGAGGAAAAAACAGAAATTCCATGTGTCACTATCAGATCTGAGTGGTGCTTCTAATTGGTCGTGCGTTCATCCAATCAGAAGCACTACACAACCAAGATCAGGCTAGTGACGCATCATCAGTACAGAATTTCTGCGCTCGCTCTTCAGACATCATTGTGCGAAACCAGTGATGGCATCGCGAAAGGTCAGCTGTTTTTTCCGATTAGGAGACCGCGTGTTCATGATATTAAACGCTTTAACTCACCCTTGGGGTCCTTGTAATGAACATATCTCCACCGGGTGTTGGCCTGAAAAAAAGTTGGATAAAAGAATGATGCCGAACTGACTTTCGACTTAAGCAGGGACAAAAAGGAAGAGAATGTTCAGAAAACGTCTTTTGAAACATTAAACAGCTCTGTATTTCAGGCTTGACCCAATAGAGAGAAGAAGTTTGACGTCACGTTATCATGGCAGCAAATTTCTGGATCCCAACAAAATTTCTTGACAGTGACGGCTAACTGCATTGTCGAAGGATGGAAGAGCAAAGTATGGGCTACCGTTTAGTTCCTGACTGCAATCATGCACAGGAAAGTCAGAACATGTCAATTTTTTGCTTTTTCGGATTTGGGCCACTCTCTCGGTAGCACCGGCTCACTTCCCAAACAAAATCTTCACCCGGCACAAAGTTATGCGGATAGTTAGCCTGATGACGTCACAAGTTGGACGTGGTTTGATACGTTCGATTGTAGCCAGTTCCAGGCTCTCAGATAGTGGGAAGACGCGAGAGTAAAAGACACGCTAGCCTGCGTAGAAGGCGCTTGGAAGTAGTGTCTCCCTCGCGCCCGCCCGTTCTCTCTTTCGCATACTACTTCCAAGCGCCTGCTACGTAGGCTAAAGACACACGAAAAGTTCAGCGGAGCCGACTATCTCGGA